AGGAAGTGGAGGCGAGGCGAAGATGCTGAAGGAGCTCGAGCACTTCCAGTACTAATTTGATTTCCTGCAGTTGCACCAGGATCCGAACCGCCAAATTTACTTATTAGTGATTGCTTTGCTTCAGAAAACGAATTACTCCCAGGCATACTTCGAGCTGTGGAAGCATTGGAGGATTTACTACCTTTGGATTTCTTCTTAGATAGAAGTGAGAGCATTCTTTGTGGAGATTTTTTTGAAGACCGAGATGGAGATTTAGATTGAGGTTCCGATGGAAGTGGAGGTGGTGGAGGTGGTGAAGGTGGTGGAGGCGGTGAAGATGGTGATGATGGTGATGATGGTGATGACGGTGATGATGAACTTGAGGAACTTTCAGAAGATGAGGAAGAACCTTGGATAACATCATCAAATATATCAATACTACTATTAACGTAGTGAATACGCGTGCAATGTAGTTTGGAAATGACTTTCTCTCCGGGATTAACCATCTTTCCATTTACTTCTGAAACAATTTTCATATCCAATTTTCCATTGCAGGAAGCAATTAAACTGCTAGATTTAGAGTTATTGTCTTCGTCAGTGTAAATAAAGGTTCCATAGGCATCTCCTGCCTGAAGAAAGATTTGAGTGTAAACAACCCAGGTGGGAGAATACTGGACTATCCCTCTAAACGTTGGCCAAGAGACTGTATAAATTCCAAGCATATTCTTTGTGATAATAGGATCTCTATTTTTTTCAGAAAGTTGCTGAGCTGTTGGAGGAGTTAACTCCAAAGCTGAAGTTGGGACTGAAGGTAAACCACAAAAAACCCTTAATATTTCGTCTCCAGGTAAAGAAACCGTATTGTTAACCAATCTTACAGATGGATCGTGAACTGCTCCAGGACAAGGGGAAGTAATATCCATACTGGTTTTACCATTTTGAGTAGTAAAAACTCCCAATTTTTGGCCAGTTTCAACTAATTCAATTTTTTGCTCATCGAAAACTGCAACCCCAGTGACAGTTGACCAAACATAGCCAAACCCTGTTATATCTCCAATTCTTGCAACCAATACATCAGTATGAGATCCTTGAGGAATCCTATCTACTTCCTGTCTTCCTGTATCCTTTTTGATCATCATTATTGTAGTTCCAGGCAATACACTCTGGTTGTGAGCAGCCATTGATAAAAAGAAAAGATTCATCCCAGCATTTTTAACAATAATATCAGTACCTTGACCACCTGGTTGATTGGTACATGTTACTCTTCCAACAACTTCCTTTTCTCCAACAGTACCAATTAACCCCTCATTCTTGAAGGTAACCTTGCAGGGACTGGTAACAACAATAAAAATGTATCCATTACCTTCTAATTGTTGAACAAGAGATTTATCTGAGCTATTTATTGGAGGAGCAACAGGTAAATCACCAGTGATAGGAGTGCGAAGTGAATCACACTGTATTTTAAAAATTGGATCGCCAGCACTAAAAGAATGTCCTGACCTTGTTTTTAAATCCTCAACATCTTTAATAGTACCAGTACAAGGAGTTTTTATCATAACTGAGAAATCATCACCGTTCCTAAGACTCAACGAAGCAACTTCATCTCCAGCAAACATTCTCAATGGTGAAAAGGATGTGAGAATGATTGTTGAATAAGTAACAATGGCACTAACACGAGCAAAAGCATTGTAGAAGTTTAAGCTATTTTCTGATTCAAAAACAGAATAAACACTGTCATAATATAGCTTCTGTTCGTCGTAACTAGGTGAAACCGTCCTTGAGATCTGATCACACATTACAGAAAATACTTTCATCCCTCCAAGACCTCTTTCTGATATATTCATTGTCTCTATTGAGGTTGAAGGATAAGTCTTTTTTCCAGAACACGGAGATATAATATCTGCTACACCACTATAACTCTCGCCTAGAGAAAACAAAAAAATACCAACAACATCTCCCTCTTTCACTGATTTCTGATCAATTGAAGTAAACCTTGCAATACCAACAGTCCTTGTAAATATGGAAATTTCGTCACCACCTTCTAAAGGATATAATGGAGTACCGACTCCTCTAACTTCCGTAATTTTTTTATCAGAGCCCTTTGATTTACCATTCTCAACAAAAATGTTCGGATTTTCTAGCCACGTAACTGATCTCTTGTTACAATATACTTCCATAAAAGTTCCGCCAGCTTGAATTTGTTCTCCAGCAGAAGTACTGACTTTATGCTTAAGTAACGAACTAATTTTCCCAGTGCATGGACACCTAACTGGGACTTGCGTAGTAGAACCATAAAAATATATGAACAATGTCCCAATTACCAAGTTTTTTGTGCATTCTTCCGTTTCAGATAAATAAACAACAGAAGTTCTTGTCACTCCAACCCTTCTAACAAAAGTTTTACCTACCTTCTCTTCTTGAACAAAAATACCTCCATAAGTACTTGAATAAGATTTCTCTATAAATACGTGAGTTGGGGACGGAGGGGTAGGGTTTTGTAATAAATGAGGTGACTGTAGGATATTATCTTCAAGTCTCCAATTTGGATCTCCCATTAAGGATTTGGTAGCATGAGGCACTAAAGGCTTATAATCGTTGTTTTTCCAAGACTGATAGGCACGTTCCCACATCTGAAGAGAAATGGGTAGCTCTGGAGAAGATTTGGTAGTTAACACCGGGCCTAGTTGGCCAAACAGAGTAACTGGTGATTTAACAACTTGGAATTCTGGATTAGATTTAATTACAAGCATTGTAACATCTTCAGCTACCTGTGTTTTATCTTGTACATCCAAAATAATTGAGCCTGAAATATCGGATTTAAGATCTGCAGTATGCATTTTACCTTGAACGATACAAGTAAACTTCCCAATAATTAACCCACTTACAACTTTCATTTCAGACCTAACTTTAGAAGTGAGCTCCAAAAATGTTAAAGGTGAATTTGAGACGATAGAAAGTTTCTTTCCCCTTACATTATACGAAATACAGTTTTTGAGGGCCTCTGGTAAAGGTTTAAGAAATGTTTGGTCAAGAACCTTTTTCTCAGACTTCTCTTGAGGATTTAAAGGCATAGTACATCCAACAGTAAAGATTGGTTCTCCACTAGAAACTTGTTTAAGTTGAGTTTTTGAGTTCTGAGCTGAATTAGCCGGCCCAGTACAAGGGGAAAATAATTTCACTTCTTTTTTTCCAGATTGTCCAACATTACAGCTAAAAACACCAATTAGTTCGCCAGCAAATGACATTGAATTTGATTTTAAAAACCTTTCAACAAGATTTGGAGTGCCTGTCGCACCTAAAGATACTTTTATTTCGCTGAAACCATCACCTGATGTTAAATGAATACAATTCAAATCATCTTCTTTTGGTGTTACCCAGTCAGTAGTTAATTCACCAGTAATTTTAATTTCCAAGTCTTTAAGATTACAAACAATCTGTGTAATTACATAATCAGATGAAACCGATCCTTCAAAAGCTGACATTAAAAAACCAATACATGGAAGTGGAATAAGAAATTTTTTAGTCAAACCTGTGTTAGAATCCTGAGATTCAAAATGTCCAAAGTCTGCTTTAACAACAGTTCCAGATTTCTTTGAAAATTTAGTAACCCCAGGTTCATTAACCCTTGTCTCTGCAATAAATAAGTGTTTTGTTTGCTTAAGAGAAATAAGAAAAGGCCCATTAACGAGAGATCCTGGAAAACTTGTACCTAAAGAAGGTGGAATTCCATAAGATGGTTCTTTCATTCCTTTAAGTTGAATTGGTGACTGAGAATAAATAATGCCAGAGGGGTATAAAGGAGTATAACCAGGAACAATGTCCTGAGCAGCATGTGGTTTTCTTCTTTGGTAAACTAAGAACCAAAAGGGAAGTTTGCAATTTTGCGTAACTATTATGTCTTCAGGTGGTGCCACTATATTAGTTTTAAGTTCTTTTAAAAGTCCGGTACAAGATGTATAGGTTTTTTCTCTCTTAGTTTTTTGTGATTCGGAATCAAAAATGAAAACTCCAACATGCACTTTTACTTTAACAAGAGTATGTAACATCACTGAAGATTGATGAATACCTTTAACTAAGACCTTTGTTTTGCCCATCATCGAATTAGTATCAAAACTGTATGTAAAGATTCCTTGTGTAAAAGAAAACACTCCATCTACTTCTTCAACAGCGACTTGGCAAACAACCACCAGTTTAAGTTTTTCAACAGAGTTAAGATTCACAGTCTGAACAACTCCTGTGCATGGTGAGTGAATGCTTTCTTTAACTAACTTATTGTTCTTTCCATTGTATTCTAGTTTAGCAATTAGGCTCCCCTTTTTTATTACAGAATCCCTTGCTACTCGAGTATTCATATGTACAGTTCTAGCACATGTAAGCCCATGAGCAGCAGGGCCAACAACTTCCCATAAACATGGTGAACGTCCTTTCCTAGTTGGAATCATTTTTTTCAATTTTTGAACTTTGGAAGAATACATTAGTCTTTTTGGATTAATTTTTAATAAACTATTATTGTAAGGTTTTATATAATAATTATCTATAGCACTCCATTCGTAATAATAAATAACTAAAAAAACCAATATAAAAATAAGTATTTGAATAAAGGGTTTCCTTTTGCCAATATAATTAATAATCATTTTAATTCTAAAACTGGTTTTTTCCTTCAAGCATTATCTTAAAATTTGGTTTAAGTAAGTTTATTAGCTAAATAAAAATTGTATTTTTGTTTTATTTAACCTTTATAAAAAACTATAAATAACTCGGTATCAGCAATATTTTTTTTTTTTTTTTATTTTTTCACTATATATTATTAGATCATATATTGAGATGGCGGTATCCACACATAAATTAATCAAGTATAATAATAATATAACAATTCATTAATTAATAATCACAAATAAAAGTTGAATTAAATCATTTTCTTTTTAAAATATCCTAATAAATATCAGCCTTCCTGACTCAAACTACTATTCATTTTTACTTCATTAAATAATTTGGATATTTTGATTTTTTTTTGTCACCTAAGCATCAAATATGTTATTTATTATTTGAAAAAAATCGAACAGAGTTTTTTTAAAGTCTTGTAAAGTAACTCTAAAAAAGTTTCTGATTAATTTAATGAGTTTAACTTTTTTCAATTAATAAAAGTGATTATTTTTCTATGTATTTAAAAAAAACTATTTGCACCTTGAAAGGCTTGAAATACCAAAACAATCAATTAAATAACCCAATTTTAAAATTAATCTGTGAATTTCTAGCTGGACTACACAATTGTTTCTTTGTTTTCTTAATTTACAAAAAAAAAATTGTATGCCTTAAATTGATCTTATTTTAACTAAAGATTGGTAAAATAAAGCATTATTTCTGATGTTTTTAAACTCTTAGTTAAGTTTTAATTTGTGACTGTAAATCATTTTATTTTATTCTAGCAAACATAATTAAGGATTTATCTAACATTGGAAAAAATTATACAAATAAAAATTATTTATTAGATATATCTTTTTTAATAGATATATCATTTTAAAATGAAATAATATATTTATTTTAAAGGTAAATATATTATTAATAAATCTGGAAAAAAGAATAGGGAAGAAATCTAAGATATTTTACGATTTTATTAAAAAATTAGATTTTTTTGTTATTTGTTACAAAGTATTTAAAAGCTTAGGTTTAAAAAAATGGTTTTTAGTGAATTATAGAATATTTGATAAGTTTTTTTCAATTTTTAATTTATATGAAAATTTTCAATGAATATTAATACTAATTTTATCTCAAAAAACTTTTAACTTTAATAAAATAATTCTTAGAGTAAATAATAATCATCACCATTGTTGTAGTAATTAAAAAATATATAATAAATGAATGAGACAAACCAAAAGATTAAATTTACACCAACCTCAAATGCATTTAACATTAAAACTTGCAAAATAATGTGAAATTTCTTTGATTAATTATGGAAGTTTTTAGAATTATAATTATGCTCATTTCATACAAATAAAAATGAATTTCTATTCATTTCAAACAATATAATAAAATATCACTCATTTCAAATTTTAATACAAATACTTTAATTTAATACTATAAATAGGTATTCTGAATTAGCTAATTTATCAATACAATTAATAATATTTAAAGTGTATTATTAATATGAATTAAATAACAATGATTAGACATAGTTTTTTATGTTATTTATCATTTTAACTTTCTCTGAGTTAATAATTTTAGCAATGATTTAAAGAATATTTTTTTTAAATTAAAAAACAATGATTGGAAATAAACTATACAGGTGAAGTAAACAATTTTCATGTAATTTAGTTAAAATCTCAAGAATCATTTTATTTATACTTGAAGTTTACTTAATGAGAATAGATACCTTTCTAATTACTTTGTTCATTTTTTTTTCTAAAATATAAAATAATACATAATATATTTATTAATTTCTTTTATTTATTAATTAACTTATAATTATGAATATTAAAATCTAGCATATTGCCCACAACAATTAACTTAATGTAGATTAGCCTTAAGTTTTTGTTAAGACATTATTTACAGTTTAAAGTAAAAGAAAAGGGGAAATTAATAAAGTGAAACCTTGTACATTAAGGCTACTTAGAACTCTAAAGCAAAAGATGGATATATAGATAGTTACTTCAAGACAAATAATTTTGGAAACTTTACTTGAACCTTAATATGAAAATATAGTGACCACTTAGAAATTAAACTTCTATTAAAGAGAAAATAAAAAATAGATTTTTATTTATTTGAATGCAGGTAGATCCAAACCATAACCACAATGACTAAAAGGAAAATCATAACCAACGTCACCACACTCATCTTCAAAACAAGTTAAAGTTCAAAGCTAGACAATTAACACAACATTCAAGAGTAGATGCAAAATTTTATTAGATATCAGAGAATTCCAAAATACACCTGTCTGATTAATAAATATATAAAGATGCTTATTTATAAAATGATTGAAAAAAGAAATTTTAATTTCTTGTTTCGGCAATAATTTATAGTTTTCAGTACTAAAAAAATTATATTCTAATCTTTATTGTATGCAGTTTGTAATTCTCCGACGTATTTCAACTAGTAGTAACAAACTAAAAATAATAACAATAACATTCAACTTCAAATTATTACACACAAATTATATATGTAATATATTAATCTCAGAAACATATTATTGTTCATGAGTAATTTTCCTCTTTGAAGTTTAGCTATATAATGCTTTATGTCTTCGATAATCGAATTCAGTAATAGTTTAATATCATAAACAATTCCTGCATAAGTAGTTATTCATCATTTTCATGAAACAATATAAATGTAAAATAAAGAAAATTCAATGAAATTTCATTAGAAAGTAAATTTTTAATACAACAAAAAAACTTTTTATTTCTCAAATTTCATTACTTTTTTTTAAAAAACTTGAATAAAATAGAAGAAGTAATGTATTTCACCGATATTATAATTATTATATTTGATAAAACATCTTAAATAATTTTTATTACTTAATATTCCTAAATTGTAGTTAGCTAATTTAAACTTGGGAATTTTCTTTTTATATTCTCATGATACAAAAGTCTTTATTTTCTCTGATTAATAAAATATTCCTTTAACTATAAACCGTTTTTTAAAAATTTGAAATATAAAAGTATTCCAATGGCTGAATACAAATTTATTCTTTTAAATATAAATGCCAAATTACCGCTAAAACGTCATTTTTAATGCTTTTTATGAATGGTGAAAGCGGGAATGTTACTAGACGTAAATTCATTATTATATAGTTAATACAACAAAATACTAATAGATCAATAATATAAGAAAATAAATTGGGATATTAGAACAATGTTGTATTATTGCAAAGAAAATATTTAATATCCTGTCGCAAATAAAAAAAGATATTTTTCAGTTGAATCATTTTGTACAATTTATTTCTTTTTTTTTTTTGAAATATGAGGTTCTTATCTAATTTGTCGTTTATTTCACTTTTCTTTGTTATTTTGGCCCTTTTGAGTTTGAATTCTTTCACTGGTTCTAGTTTGGCCTTGGGAAATTATCAAGAGTTTTCATTTATTCAGTCTGGTTCTGGACTTTGCAGTAGACTCAGAAGGCGTTTATGCTGCTGTTCTTGTGGTAGTAGTAGTAGTAATAGCAGTGATGATGACGAAGAAGAAGAAGAAGAAGAGGGGGGGAGGGGGGCTAATATTAGTCCCCCATTTAACTTTGTTCACCTTGAGTCTGGTACCGGTTTAATAAGAGGGCGAGATGGAGCTATCATTACAGGGTCCAATAGTCAGAACGGCAATGGTCAAGGTGAAGGCTCATCAGGCTCATCAGGCTCATCAGGCTCATCAGGCCCATCAGGCCCATCAGGCCCATCAGGCCCATCAGGCCCGCCGGGACGCAATAATGACGGATTTGAAGGTGAAGAAGAGGGAGAAAGTACATGGCTCTAAATGGTCTAGTACACTAATTATTGCAATAATTATAGTGAGTGATATTTTCCGAGTTTTGCTATGTTCTGCGTTTATTTGAATATAGCATTTAAGTATTAATTTCGAGTTCATTATAAGGAATTAATTAAAAATAACGGTAGAATTGCTGAAAAATTTGTACTTTAGAATTGTGAGAAATTATTGTAAGTGCTGTTTCTTTTTTATTTAAGCGAATTTTTACTTTCGATTTGTTCTTAATGTCTCGTTACTAATTGTTTGGTGGCATGAGATTTTTGCCTGAGTTCTCCCTGCATCCAGGTTCTTAATTCATGCATTTATTGAAGTCAGATGTTCTTAATGTTTTACATTTCCACCCTATCTTATTAATTATAGGTTTTTAAATTATTACGGTTTGGAATTAAAAATTAGATATTAATTAAATAAGAATAAAAAAATTTGAACAGTCGCAGTCTCAGCTGAATTTTTAAATCATTTTCATTAGTAAAATAATATTCACAGTGAAGTATAAAAACATATGAATATTCAATAAATAAGGAAATTAACAAAATTCTAGAGGCGAGAAAATTAAAAATTAGAACAAATTGTTTGGAGCCTAGAGGCAAAATTGAATTTTATTATAAATACATTGCCGGTACATAGACAAACTTTCTCAAATAAATTAAAAATAATAAAAAAATAACTTTTAACTACAATTCCTTATTAATTTCTGATTGTAACATGGGAATTTTTGCATTTTTCTTAGCTTTTGCAACACCTTTTTTATTAAACTTTGAATTCAACAATTTTGAATATAAAGTTAACTTATCTTTTTTGTCGTTAAGGGAAAGTTCGACGATTAAAAGTGAAGAAAATGATTATTATGCAAAGTATAACATTACAGAAGGAATCCCAAGGTTATTTCCAAACATTCATCCATTGGAATTGAATCCTATAGAAGAGGCAACGAATAGTCATTTATTCAAGTACTCAAACACTAGTTTTGCTTTAGATTGTTACCAAAAGTTGCCTCAATATTCAATAATTATTGGCCTCATTAAGGAATATTCATATTTTTTGTCTGCTTACTACAGATTGAGATGTGAGAATAGGAACGAATACCATGATGGAACGAAATGTGGGGATATTCCATACTTAATTGATTTATTAGATAATAAGGCAGAAATTCTAAATGAAAAAAAGATTCAAAAAAAGAATAGATGTTTCACTATTGAATCAAATATTGTTTCAGTTCAATCGAGATATTATGATCATGATGGATTTATAGGAAGAATTAAACCAATATTAGAGTCTGAATTCATTTTAGTTGAAAAGTCATTTTTAAGAAGACTAATTTCAGAATTTGAGCAAACGCTTATTAACAAAGTAATTTCTTATGAGTTGTATTGTATTTCTAAGTTGGAATATAAAGGAAAAGGTACAATTGATTGTTATCGTTTAAGATTGGAAAGTTGGATTTTGGAACAAGAACTAGTATTAATTTCGGAAGAATACTTTAAACGGATGTCAAGATTTGAAAGATTAAAAGACATAGTTTAATTTGTGTCTATTTTAAGTCAAGTCTTATTTTTGTTTTGAATAATAAGCTATTACATTATATTATTCATTGTAAAAATACGTATTTTTTTTAAATATGGGATGATTAATATAATTCTTTTAAATTAGATTTTATCAACACAATTATTATTAAGCGTAATAATAGAATTGTATATGTCCATTAATAATATCATAAGTTTGTTCGAACTGTTATTTGGCACTATTGAATATTTGATTTTGATTTATTCTACTTATTTTTCTTTTATTTATTTATTTATACTCATTTCGATATTTCCAAATATATTTAGGCTCCAGTCAAGTTAATATATTTGAGTAATTTTCGTTTTATTTTACTATATATTACAGTTTATCATAAAAACAGTCTAAAACTGAAATCATTTTTATATTAACATGTAATTAATTTATTATTTTTTCATCAAATATATTTTGAATAATTATTTACAGTTAGAAAGTTTTTTATAGGAATTGTGATATAAATAAGTATTAAAGGTATTAGATTCATTAAAACACTATAATAGTCGGTTTGAGTTCATTAGTATACTAGAATCATTAGCATAGAAATTAAAATTAAAAAATTGACTCAAGATAGAACAAAATCAAGAAAAGAAAGATCATTTTATTTTTATTTAATTAAAAATATATATTTTTAGCAGTTTTTAATGAGAAACAGTATTTAAGTTAAATTTAACAAATGTCACAATAGACATTCAAGTTGCGCCAAATGTTTGTTATTTGATCAATTAATTTAAATAAATATTGACTTTCAAATAAAGATATATTAATCAAAGATGTCAACAAAAAACATAGGAAAGGGTTTAACATTTGAAGATATTCTTTTGATTCCAAATTATTCAGAGGTATTACCTAGAGAAGTTAGCTTAGAAACTAAGTTAACAAAAAATGTTTCTCTCAAAATCCCTTTGATAAGCTCAGCAATGGATACCGTAACAGAACATTTGATGGCTATAGAAATGGCCAGACTTGGAGGAATAGGATTTATTCATAAAAATATGGATATAGAAAGCCAGGTAAATGAAGTACTAAAAGTCAAAAATTGGATGACAAATTTGGAAAAGAGTGAGATAGAAAAAATGAAAGAGAATCAAGAATCTAACAAGGAAAACTTAATGAAGGAAAACCTTAATTCTAATGTGAATAGAGATGCTTATATCAATGCCAATTTAGATGACAAAGGTAGATTAAAGGTGGGGGCAGCAATTGGTGTGAATGAAATAGAGAGGGCAAAATTATTAGTAAGAGCAGGAGTAGATGTGATTTTATTAGACTCTGCACATGGCCATTCACTCAATATAATAAAAACTTTGAGAGAAATTAAATCAAAAATGAATATTGATGTAATTGTTGGTAATGTTGTAACGGAAGAAGCAACAAAAGAGTTAATCGAAAACGGTGCAGATGGAGTCAAAGTTGGAATTGGCCCAGGAAGTATTTGCACCACAAGAATTGTTGCAGGAGTTGGTTTACCTCAGATTACAGCAATAGAAAAATGTTCGTCAGTTGGAAGTCAATTTGGTGTTCCAATAATAGCTGATGGAGGGATAAAATATAGTGGTGATATTGGGAAAGCACTAGCAGTCGGAGCCTCAAGTGTAATGATTGGCTCAATTCTAGCTGGCACTGACGAAAGCCCAGGTGAAAAGAAACTTTTGGGTGATACTGTTTATAAGTATTATAGAGGTATGGGAAGTATTGGAGCAATGAAAAGTGGTAGTGGAGATAGATATTTTCAAGAAAAAAGACCTGAAAACAAAATGGTTCCAGAAGGTGTTGAAGGCATGGTCAAATACAAAGGCCAAGTAGAGGGCGTAGTATATCAGCTTGTTGGAGGACTAAGATCCTGTATGGGTTATTTAGGATCCATTTCAATTGAAGAATTATGGAAGAAATCGAGTTATGTTGAAATAACAGCATCTGGATTAAGAGAAAGTTATGTACATGACGTTGAAATAGTAAAGGAAGTGATGAATTATAGTAAATAATTCTGATTTGTAGTTAACCTGTTGTTATCAAAATCAATAACTTTTTCATTTTTCAATTTTAATTTACATGAAAATTAGACTTAAATTTTTATCTCAAAATCATAAGGTACAAAGTTATTACAGCTATTTTTACTAGCTCAAAGTCTGGTATATATACTCTTTGATATATTTGCATATGGGAACTATTAATGAACAAATTTAGAGGTCATTTGAAATACCAATGTTTTTCAAATTATTACAAGAAATTTACTAAAAATAATTTTCAAAATATGGCAAGACAAATGACCGAAATAGTTTACAAAAATAAAAATTAAAATTAAAAATATCATTTTTTTTTGCTTTGGCTATTGTTCATTATATATTTAAAATATCAGATGGTGTTCTTTTTATTAAATTTTTTTTGCATTTATTAATTATTCCCATTTTGTTTTTTTTTATTTCTGAATTATAATAATTAAAAAAAATTCTTTTTTATGAAAAATTTTTTAGTTTGTCAGAGAAAAAAAAATTAATCATTATTTCCAATGTTAAAAACTAATTGTAGTTAATAAAGGTAATAGAAAAGTTTAATTATTTTGGTTCAAAAGATAAACAATTTTTGTTTAGTTTTGCTCAACTATTTATTGCAAGATGAATTATGTAATTTCAATTGGATAAAACTTATATTAAATATTTCAAGTTTTAGAATTTTTTTAAATTTTTTTTAAATAGTTGTAGATATCGAGTAATTTATGATTCCATAGAATTTAAATAAATAAAAATTTAATTAAATTGTAAAAATTTTGATTTGATCCATTTTAAGAGATATTCCTCTAAAAAAAAATCTAAAAAATCTTAAAACTACAACTAATTTCATAAATTCAATAAATTAAATTTTTCCAAAAATGAATGTTATTAAATAAGAAAGTACTATTCTCTGTATCCTTTTCTGAAAACATTTTTATTATAAATTTCTAAAAAATTATAAAAATTGCTTGGAAAAACATCAAAAGAAAATAATAATTAACTGTTACTAAGTCAAATATAATTGCTTTAAATCTTTTATACAAATAATTTACTGTTTTTTTTGCCATAAAAATGTCCCCCTNNCCCCCCCCCCCCCCCCCTTTTTTTGCTTTATTATTTTAAAGATATAATAATTGATAAAAAAAATCAAATTTTTTTGTATATAAAAATTTTTTTAAAGATAAAGAACTGTTAGAATTAAGTAACCTGTTAATCATGGACAAGATTGTTATTTGAAACACACAAATTTAAATAAATATTCCAATTATTTCTTAAGAAAATGTAAATTCGATATTTTAATATTATTTTAATAATTTATTCAAATTAAATCAAAAAAACTTTAAATTCTAGAGCTTCTGATCTATATTTTTTTTAAATTTTGAACTATATGAAATAAGAACCAGAAAAAATCTATGCTGAATGTAAACAGTTCCTAGTGATTATTAAATCAATAAAAATATTTAAATCTATTCTCAAAATGATTTATTATAATGTTTTATTTACCGATTGTTATTAGAAAGTGCCAATTGGATTTGTGTACAGCGGTAACTGTTATGTATTTTATAGATTTTTTTTTTTTTTTTCAGATAGGATATTGCATTATTATAAAATGGATAGTAGATTTTTTACTTTATTGTTTTATTACTTATTACTTATCACTTTTCTTCCAATTAATAATCAAGAGACTAGTTTGTATTCTAATTTTCTTTCTTACAATGAACAATTATTCTATTATAATAAAGTTATTTCATTGATTAAATTAACTAGTGAGCAACGATTTTTAAATAGAGGATTAATACTGGGCCTTAAATCTGGAAGCTTAGGCCCAAGATATCGTGGGATTTTAGCTTCAAGGCAAGGAAATGCAAATAACCATCCTCATGATGGAGTTTGCCCTGGTAACAAACAAAAGTACAACGTAAGTGCTCCAAAAGGCCCATTTCAAAGGCCAATAATTCAACCTAGAAACCGACCACAAAGGAATTGTGCGAATTCCCCAGGTAGTTTTGTTGCTCGGAAAAATTTGAACTTCAATGGCTACGTAGATCGCTCAGGTAATTCCACTGGCCCTAGAAATTTAGGCCCAAAGAGTTTTGTGAATTTTTCATGTAGCTCTACTAGTAAAAGTCAACCTAACCTAAAGGGTCGAACAGATTACTCAGTTAGTTCCACTAGTGATGGTAAATTTGGTCCACAGAGTAGTGAGAATCGGCCAAATTACTCAAGCTCTTTAGGTATTGTAGGACATTGCTCAATCTGTGCAAAGTGTAATAGGGAAACTTGTCCGAAATTTTCTTATAAATGCCATAGGAAGTGCCAGAAGTAAACTAGATAAAGAATTTTTTTCTTGCTAATGAATACTAGTAATTCTCGAATCGTAAGAATGTATTAACTCAGTATATTGTTTTTACGAGTCGAAAATACATGATTGGTTATTATTTTGATTATTATTATTACAAAAAAGTTGAATCCTACGGAAATAATGACAAGTACGCAATGTATCTTAGGGATTTCTTACATAAGTCTTAGTATATGTTCTTTCGTTACCGTATTTTTGTTTCTTATTCATCTTAGTTTTACATAAAATTGGTTGATATTCTTTATTCGAATTAGTATATTAAATTATTTTGATCTAATTGTACATTGTTTCAGGATCATTTATTTTAAATTGATATTCTCCTAATTCCGGAGGCTACTATATATTTTTCACTAAAATATTTAGAAGTAAATAACTCTTTTTTCACAAAATGATTTATGCAAACAAGCTATATTGAGAATGCCGAAAAAGAGAATTTACAATGATTAATCGACTATTTGAACATTTTAAGTCATATTCAACGTTACTGTTTTAAATAACACCGGTTAAAATGTTGATTTTAATGTACATATAAATGATTATCATCTAATTTGTTTCAACTGAGATATATTAACAAGATTATAATTGTTTTCACCAATATTAAAAAAAGTACTAATTTACTCACTAAGTTTGCCAGAAAGCTATATTAAAAAGAATTTACTTAGTAAAATTAAATAAATAATTCTGAGGACGTTTTTAATGACAACATAATTCTCATATCTTAATATTAAAGATTTTACAAACATAATAAATAAAGTTCAGAATAAGCTCATTTTGCGAGATATAATAATCAAGTTTGGTTAAAAAGATAAAATAGTTAGATATTATGAACATGAAGTAAACACCATAAATAAATATTGCAATTATTTCACAAGATGCAAAGAAAGACAGTTTTACATAATCAGGCCAGTTTCATTACGTTTGAACAAGACAAATATATTCACAAGAATTAAATAACAAAATAATCCAACCACTGCAATAGAAATATAAAAGTAATTCCTTTCTCAAATAATAAAAAAGTGTCTAGAGACCTAACTTCTATTTATTTACAAAATTTATTAGCCAATATATAAATTTAAATCTTTAACTAACCAAATACAAACATTTATATATTTTGTCATTTACAAAATAAATACGTATTTAGCGCCGGCACTGTTTTGTTAAGTATTAATACTGCCTGGCATTCTTTTCGTAGTCATTTTTTTCCGTTCAAACAAATTTTCAATTATCATGCATAATTTTTTGAAGACATTTCTCTTATTAACTGCTCTCTGCAGCGTTTGTTCACCTTTATCTGATTTTTTTCTTAATCGGGTTTCAAATGTATTCAACGAAGCAGCTCTTCCATATTATTCCTTGATTAAGCTGCGTGCTGGTTCTCGTGATTCTTCACCTTCTAGGCATGAAGGGAATAGTAATGGAGGTTCTTCCGGAGGTGGTTGTGGTTCTTCGCCTTTATCTAGTTCGTTCTCTTCACTTTCTTCAACATTAAGTTCATCTTTTCCAGGAGGAAGGGTGGGATCTTCGCTACAATTGGCTGCAGCAATAAGTTCAGCTCTTTCAAACAGCCGAAGCTCATCGCATGGCGGTCCTCGTACTTCTGGCTCATCTCATGGACCTGGTTCTAATCCATCTTATGGACCTGGTTCTAATCCATCTCATAGACCTGGTTCTAATCCATCTCATAGACCTACTTCTCACCCAGGTTCTTCTGAAGGTTCCAGAAGATCGGGACCAGCTCAAGCTACTCCAAAACACGTCATTTGTAGTTCTAATCCTAGTTATACAACTGAAAGACCTGCTGGGCACCTTACTGCACCATGCCCTAGATGCCCAGGAAAAAATCACTATTTAAGACCTGGATCTGGAAGAAGAAGCCGTTGTCCTTATTGCGATTAAGCCATAAAGTGATAATTAATAAGATCCGGTTAAGATATTTTGTGTTTGTGTGCATACGCGTGTTACTTCTCAATGGGATTTAAATAGTCATTTTTTACATAGCAAGTTATCTTTTGGGCCTCTAAGAGACTTTATTAAATTCATGTTTTCATTCATTAAGAAGTCCGATATGTTAGAAGTACTTGAAGAAGAGCTGTCTTGGTATTTTTAATGGTCCGTTACAATTTCTGATTACAATTCGTTTAGTTAAATATTTATTTGGGTGTTTAATTTAATTAGTGAAATTCGAGAATTTAAATGATTCTGCAGAAATTTGTTTCAGATTACTCTTACATTATCGTAATTCATTATCTAAAGGAGATTTGAAAACGTTAATTTTCATTGCTAATTTCGAGTATAATCTTGTATTAATGAGATTTACCAGAAGTATGAGTAATATTTGGGGCAGAACTATTGAAAACTGGGGATTTCCTTCAAAATGTTCGTAAAGAAATAAAAGATTTTGTTCTTGTGTCACTAAATGAATAATTGAATATTGAAATTGTTTTACTTATGGTTTAGCTAGCATTACTTGATTAGATTAATTTTATTTTTTTAAATGAAATCTCTTATTACTAATTTTCAAAAATAACGCAAATGCTTAACATGAATAGGATAATGACATTAGGTTTAGGTTAGGTTTAGGGTTTTAGGTTAGGTTTTTAGGTTTTAGGGTTTTAGGTTTAGGTTTAGGTTTTAGGGTTTAGGTTTTTAGGTTTTAGGTTTTTGTTTTTGTTTCACTAATTT